TGTGATTTTGAGGATACTTTGTTTGTAAGAAATAAATAGTAAAGAGTTAAGGGTACAGGGAAAAGCATGATGCACATTTTCAAATGGTTCAGCGGAGTGTATATATGGATACAGCGCCCAAATAAAAAAGCCATGACAGCAAAGAAAGGTGTAAGTCATTTGTGCCATACCTGTAAATTCTCTACTATTTGAAATTATTTCAAAACAAAAGGTTATCTTTAAAAACCACAACAAATCTTCATACAGGTCATAAAAACCTTGACCAAAATTACAGCACATGAAGTTTATAAAAACCGAGGGTTAGGAGACAGTTCTTGGGCTTCTATCGGCACAGTGCTTCAAAATGAAGGCATGGTGTTTCAGATAAGAGTCACAGTGGCCACAAGTAAAGCCCTGCCTGGGCACAGAGACACAATTCAAGGTTTTCAACGAGAAGCTTCACTTTTATTATCTTCCTCAAAGAGGACTGTTTCCAAAGGCCGAGCTCCTAGAACAACATGTCTCCAGAAGCACCTTGAGGTGACCTGCACCTGATGACACAGCGAGGCTCAAGATTCAAATGCTCTCCTTCTGACAGCCACTTAGTGTGGACGGCAACTGTGGTCTGCAGGGATGAGCACTATGCAGCCCAGAGGCCCCTTAAGAAGCTTGAGGGAACCTCTGGCTCCAGGAAGCTGGGAGCCCTCATCCATAATGTAGCAGGGAGTGCGTGTCCTCAAGTGACTCCCGCCTTTTAAGAGCTGAAGAAAGACAGTCTCCATAGCTACGCCTTTAACAGTGGCAACAAGTCCAATCTGTTACATAAGCTGCACTTCTGCCCTGTCAGGGTGTGCATAAGTTCTTCTGGAACCGTCAAGTCCCCGCCACATGGCACATGTCAGCTTTGGAAGACCAGTGCAGGATCCAGGCTGACCTTCCCACAAGCATGCCACTTTCACACTGGAAAACAACTGTGCAAAAGCAATCAGCCTTGTTTGGAGTCCTGCCTCTCCCCAGTCAGACCTGAATGCACAGGAGAGGCAGGTATCTCATCAAGCATCTACCAGAGCAAGGCACTTTTGGAAGACGGACGTTAATTTTCAGATTGAAACAGGGGCTGGAGAGCTGGCCCAGGGGTCACAGTCATCCACTGCTCTTGCAGAGGTCAGGCAGCTCCCTTCCCAACAGTCTGTAACTCAGCTTCAGAAGAGTCCACCCCCTTCTGGCCACCTACACTAGTGTATATACCCATCTACAGGCATACACATTTAAGCTTTTTTTTTTAAAGATTTATTTATTTATTATGTATACAGTGCTCTACCTGCACACCGGAAGAGGGCACCAGATCTCATTACAGATGGTTGTGAGCCACCTTGTGGTTGCTGGGAATTGAACTCAGGACCTCTGGAAAGACAGCCGGTGCTCTTAACCTCTGAGCCATCTCTCCAGCCCACATTTAAGCTTTTTAAAAATAATTATTAAAAAATCAAATAAGGTACCTCAGTAGTTCAAATCTTCATTTGAAAAAAGGAGACACCTGACAAAACATTATTTTTAAAAATTATGTGTATCCATTGGAGGTCAGAGGTCGATGTCAGGCTTCTTTCTCTTTTGTTCTCCATCCTTTTCTTCCCTTTTTCTTTTTTTTCTGAGACAGGGTCTCACTCTGTAGCTCTGGCTGGCCTGGAGCTCAGAGATCCACCTGCCTCTGCCTTCTGAATGATGGGATTAAAGGGGTCACCACATTCAGCCCATCTATTGAAACAGGGTCTCACTAAACCTGGAGCTTACTAACTGTGCAAAACCAGCCAACCAGCAAGTGCCAGGGAGACTCCTGTCTCAGCCCTGCCAGGATTACAGGCACATGTACATCGCCAGTCCTGTTTTTTTAGAATTTTGTACGTGTGTATGTACTTGTGTATGAGCACATGCCATGTGTGTGCAGTGCCCGAGGAGGCCAGAAGAAGGCATTACATTCCTTAGAGCTCCCGATGAGGGTGCCAGTAACTGAACACAGGCCCTGGCAGAGCAGGTCAGTCCTGGCGGAGCATGTCGGTCCTGGCGGAGCAGGTCGCTCTCTGAAGCACTGTCCAGGCCCACTACCCCACTACTAGCTTTGTAAGTGGGCGCTGGGAATCCAGATGCAGGTCCTCATGCTTATACGGAAGGCACCTTACTAGTCGACTGAGCCATCTCTCCAGGCCCCGCCTATAAGTCATTCTTTCTTTCTCTTTTTTAAAGTGTGTGTGTGTGTGTGTGTGTGTGTGTGTGTGTGTGTGTGTGTGTGTGTGTGTAAACTGGGCATCTCCTACCATATGGGATCTGGGGATCAAACTCAGGATGCACCCTCGTTCCTTTTCTTTCAAAATAACTTCATCCATTCTCCAGCAGTGCATATATTTTCCTAATAAGTTAACCTCAGACACAACAGCAATTCATATTTTGAAGCCTTGTACACAAGCAATTTGGTGTGACTTTTATAACAGCAGTTACAGGAGCAGAGCAAGTAACAAGCAGCTGAGTTTTAAGTGAATGACCACGATACTCATCTGGGCTTTTGATAACCAGTGTCTCCTAGAATTCAGAACAGAACCCAGGATGGGCCTTGTAGTGGAGAGAAAAGGTCTGGGGCTTGTCCTTGGTTGTTGTCTCTTTCACAAAGAGCCCTTCTGGCAGAGCACCACCCCTGGGCTCGGCTCCGGTGCCTGAGTGGGCAGCAGCTCTCGTCAGTGACCACACCACCCAGGGCAGGCAGGACACTGTCCACTGCTTTGGGATCTTAGTAGCCACAGGGATATCCACATGGCCTGAGGGATGCTTCTAGGATGGGAACTGGAACTCACTGTACAAAGAGACTCTACTGCCAACTTTACCTTAAAAAGCACAACAAAGTACTCACTGTAAGACAGCAGCTGCACACATGTGTCTTCATGTGGGAGGCCAGTAAGCCCTCCATGACCAATACTAACCTGCCCAATTTCACAGGATCATGTGGTTGGTTCTGAGTGTTTCTCTAGTCACACACAATATTCTAAGGAGCCTGAGGAAGCGTTATTGATAGAGTGGAATGAGAGTGAGGAGACAAAAGAGCATGTAAATAGGTACCCATCACTGCTGGAGGAGGCAGAGAGGTGCTGGGGGTAAGGTAGGAAAGCAGAATAGTGTGGGGACGCTCCATTCAAATAACTAGGTTATTCAAATAACTAGGTCATGGAAGGATATTCCTGCAAAGGTGTCAAAACCATAGATAATGTCCAGAACAAGGAACTTGTGCTAGCAAATGTTCCTGTGCTTTTATTATTTATTTACTTTTGAGACAAGGTCTCACTGTGTTCTGGAACTCTCTATGTCGAACAGGTTGGCTTCAAACTCACAGAGACCCACCTGCCTCTACCTCCTGAGTACTGAGATTAAAGGCGTGTGCTACAATGCCCTTTCCTGGGCCTTTCAAGGAACAAGGGAGCTGGAGGGGGACAGTGCAGTCACAGGAAGGCTGAGTGAAGAGCCTGCAGGATGGCTGTAAGCAGGACTCCGGCTGCCCTGCTGAGCAGGGAGGAGGGTGGATTGCTACCTCAGGCTAGCCCAGCTAGGATGCTAACACTGTGCACAGGACAGCACTGGAGGAAGCCATAGACAGCAGTCAGGTTTCTCTATTTGGAAAGCAGAGTTGACAGGACTGACCGAGTTGAGAGGTCTCCAGAGTGACTCCAAGGTCCCAGAACTCTAACTGCACAATGAAGTTGCTTTAACCCAGCAGGCTCTGGGCCCAGCAGAGCAGGGAGCTCTGGTTTGCTCCCATTTTGTTTGGGGCGGGTAGAAAACTCATGCTGAACACACAGGCAACAGGGGTGGGTGTGAGAAACGCCATCACTCGTGATGACTAACTAAATAAGACCACTGAGGGACAGCTGTCATTGAGGGAGCCCTGGGATCCCGCTGTGGCAGGAAGAGGTGAGGTGGTCTGGCAGCAGCACACAGCTAAGGAAGCAGAAGCAGCAGCCAGTGAAGAGGCCCAGGCTCCTGGCCCCTCTGGGTCAGCACCAGCTACACCGCTGCTCTCAACTGTTCTAGAAAGAAGGGGGCAGTGCTCTACACATGACTCTGGGTACCCACAACTGCTAATCTGCATGTCTTCCTTTCTAAGATGGGAGCAGCTCGGTCCACATGCTAATTCTCTAGGGCTGTTGGGAAAAACTCAATAGAATCTCTTCAAAACCTGAAAGCCACTAACGACAGCCCAGGTGCAGGAGAATCCTAAAAAGGTACATCACAGGCTAAGGAAACACAGCTTGAGTGAGCAAGACAACTTCACGGACCCTTTCTAACATGGGCAGCGCCATTCAAACAAGAACGTGGTTTACATTTCGACATGAATCCATAGGGATATCCATGGGGAAGTGGCAGTTTGTGACTTCATAGCCATTGACTGTATAGGTCTGTGGTGAAGTGTTGGTTTGTGTGTGGTGTGGAAGGGGTTCCCGTATTTTCAGTGACCAAGCGCCCTTTGCCTTTGGTTTCCACTGTAATGAACAACTGTTGGAGGTGGAGCTCCTGGAGATAGGAGAAACTAGGGAAGGAGGGGATGCATTCCACAAAACCTGCAGTACAGAAACGTTTTCATTCACCTTACAGACTTAGCCCTGTACATAGCTCCTGCTTTGGGGTAATGGTTTCTCACGCAGAGTAGATGGTAACTGGTCACCAGTTATATGGCAAGTCTGAATGAAGTTGTTCATTCTGAATGCTAGTGAAGTAGCCTGATTACCTGCTTCCATCTCACTATGGCCAAGACACTATGAAAGGTGTCACTTGACACCAAGCAGGACCATGGCTCCCGTTTGTCCTCACCGAGATCTAAGCTGCCTCCACATACCCCGGCCTGGTCTTCCTGTACCTATCGATAACCACCTGCTTTCGGGACCACTCCCTTCCTCAGTGTCAAAACTGAAAGCCTATCCTTCTGGGCAGTCCGATGGCTCAGTGGGTGGGATATTTGTCACCGAGCCTAACAACCCGAGTTTGATCCCCAGAGCCCTGTCTTCCACCTGCATGCTTCGGCACACCACCCATTCCTTGCAAAATAAGTAAGAATCGAATTCTTCTATTCGGACCCAAACTGTGTAACACGAACAGGCAAGTGGCAGGGGAGGGTGCATGACTGGGACCACACTTACTTCAGAACCTGTAAGAGTCCAGGTGTCACAGACGTTGGTCTCATCACTCCAGCTCCACTGATGGTCCCCAGATGAACTTGAGGATAATACACCGTTCGAAGAGCTAGTCGGGAAGACTGCAACCTCGTCTTAATGACTTCTAGTGGACATGTGAAAATAGCACCAACCGTGCCCCCGCACCTGCAGGAAAGAAGCCACAGCAGGTCAGAGGGCAACCAAGTCTTTGCAGGAAACGTGATCGCTATCTAGCCTTTTCCTCTTTAAAACAGAGTGCCTGCATTCATTTAATACAACTTACAAGGGAGTTAAAAATGTCAGCTGAGCTTCCAGAACTATAGAGAACCACCTCACAATGACCGTGAGTGCAGACGCCACTGACCACTTGAGACAGTTTGGTGCCATCCCTCTGTACCTCCACACAGTTCTCAACCAGTTCCCACCATGAGACTCAACATGAACTGAACAGTCAGAAAAACATATTGCTGCACATTCAAGCTAACAGTCAGGTAACTCTACTAGCTTGAAAATCTATGTTTATTACAACACAGACCTTCTAACATGGACACTACAGCACATTTTCAACTAGTGAAACCCTCTTTCCTTCATTCACGACTGACTGGCACACACTGTTTTCCTAGCTACTGTCTCTCCAGATCATCCCTCTAAGTCAATCACTTCAGTTCAGCCCTTCACAGTATGTTGATAGCAAAAAAGTTCTTGAATTACTTTTTAAACTTTTTTTTTTTTTTTTGTACAAGAATTGAAGCCAGGCACAGGCTAGGCTAATGCTCTATCACCGAGCTACAATCTCAGACCTTTTTATTTTATTTCAAGACAAAGTCTCACTAAATTGTCCAGTCTGCAGTTCTCCTGCCTCAGCACCCCCAAGCAGCTGGATCACAGGTGTCACCACCACACCCAACTTGGACACCTTTCTTTGGACAGCTCACTTATTTATCCTGAACTACCCATTTCCATCTTCTCTTACCTAATACTATCTACAAAACCATGCTGGGCGGGCTAGCTGTAACAAACGATGTCAGGGGCCATCTAAGGTTACCATCCATACAACCAGGGCTTTCCTTCCTGGAAATCATGGTCCTATAGCAGAGCAAGTCTCAGGTGGGACCTGGGGTCTCACTCACCTTTGATCTGTGGCTTCAGGGCCAAACAAGGTCACAAAGGGCAAGTGCTCAGCCAAGGACTAATCAGCTGAGAATTCACAGAGAAAGCCTTTCTTTAATTATTATTACTGCATTTGTTGGGGGTGGGAAGTGTGCCACAGCATGTGTGGAGGAAAGGGAACAACTTGCCGGAGAGGGTTCTCTTCTTCCACCATGTGGTCTGGGCACTGAACTTGGGTCATCAGTCTTGGCAGCAGGTACCCACAGCCACCAAGCCATCTCGCCAGCCAGAGGGTACATTTTAGGGTGTAAACACCTGGGGAGCACTCACTCTGCCTTTTACTCGCTTGCACTAGTCTGAGAACTCCCAGCATGCGAGCATATGCAGAATCTTACATTAGCCTCTATACAGCACTGAATCTAAATGCTGCAAATCTAGAGAGTAACACGACACTGAATCTATACTCCCAAAAGAGAAAAAAGCAAAATCACCAGGTAGGACTTAAATTAGGGACCTAGGGCCAGCAAGCCGGCTCAGCAGTGCACAAAAGTACGTCACACAATCCTGATGACTTGAGTTTGATTCCTAGAATGCTGCTGCTTCTTCTTTTTTAAAGCTGGTTACAATCCTAACCTCGGTCCCAGCATCCTATACTAAGATGGTGACAGACACAGGAGAATCAGCCTGAAGCTCACATACAAAGGACAGTAGAAGAAGTAACAAGACAGACCAAGCCTCAAACACAAAGTGGAAGGGACCAAAGTTTGGTTCTCTGGAAGAAAGGTATGAGC